CTTTGAGAGCATGTCAGATAAAGCAGGCCTTTTGCTTCACAAATACACCCTTGTGTCTCAGTTTTGAGTTTGGGGAAGCCAAAATGAATTCCTGTATTTGAGACATTCTTTGGGATGGTAAGTTTGAGGAATGGGGAGATCTGGAGTGTGCACTCTGCCTGCTCAGTCAGTCAGTGCCTAAGGGACATTGCTAAGCACTGTGAGTGAGGTAATGTGGAATCCAGATGTGAACTTCACATAAAGAGAATTGAGACTGTGTAGAAGTAGAAGGAGATCTGCAGCCACTGTACCTTTGAAGGCAATATTAGGAGAGACCTGGAGGGACATGTACATGTTGYAGTAAGAAGCAAATCTGTGGTGTGCAGAGAAATCAGCTACCTGTGTATGGCTAATCGACATTGAACTGCACTTCTTCCTTCTGCACTTACCTTTTTTGCTTCACAGGCTGTTCTGTTAAATGAGGAAGGGGAAGAGTTTTGTGGTGGAACAATTCTGAATGAAAACTTTATACTTACTGCAGCTCATTGCATCAACCAATCCAAAGAAGTCAAAGTTGTTGTTGGTAAGTGACTATTTCTTTTACTCCTGTGTGGTGGGAGTATCTCTTGTACCTAACTTTTGGACTCGGTGCTCCAGACTTCCTGTGAGATGTTCTCATGGTTCATTGAGGTTTGTTATATCTTTGCTGTAGTTTTGCTTTTTATAATTTCTTGTTATTGTGAGAATCCTGCTTTATAACAACAGAGGCAGCTGATGTGGAAAGTGATAGTGGTTGATCTCCTTCTTCTTTGCCAGTTAGCTGGAAGTGATTTGGGTCAAGTGTTCCAGAAATTTTGGCTATCAGTGTGTTCAGCAGAGCAGTGTTTCTGCAGGAAGCTTCTCATTCCTGGCARTTTTTTTCCTGCAGAAACACTCAGAAGGGCTCTGACCCATAGAGCATAAAAGAACAAATTCAGATTTGTTGTTGCTTCTCTTTTGAGCCAGGGCACAGAATCAACACAGCTTTATCTTTGCACTGATGTAGTCTTGATCCAGRCCATGTYCCCTTCTYTAAGCCRGGCTCAAKCTCCTGTAAGAGYTCCCACAGAAAGTTGCATTAGTTTAGCTGAATCAGCTTAGGCCTTKATGTAAACTGGTACAAAAATCTCCATAGAGCAAAGMTCAGGACCCAAGCCCATCCAGTCGCTGCTAAGAAATAATGCCATACTTGTTCACAGTTTCCTTGTGTGGTCTAAGATCTTGGGCAAAGTGCTCAGAATGAATATACTGCTATCTTCCTCTGTCAAGGTTGTTCTTAAATTCTTACAYTTTCTGCACATTAATGACCTTTTTAATACTCTTGTACAGGGGAAGTGGACAGAGAGAAGGAGGAACAGTCTGAAACAATGCATACTGTGGACAAAATATTTGTTCACTCCAAATTCGTTGCTGAGACTTATGATAATGACATTGCCTTACTGAAGCTGAAGGAACCTGTCCAGTTTTCGGAGTACGTCATTGCAGCGTGTCTCCCCAAAGCAGACTTTGCTAATGAAGTTCTGATGACCCAAATATCTGGGACAATTAGTGGCTTTGGGCGTGAAGTTGATGGTGGACGACTCCCAAAAAAACTGAAGGTGCTTGAAGTCCCCTATGTTAATAGGAACACGTGCAAGCAATCCACTAACTTTGCAATAACTGAGAACATGTTCTGTGCTGGTTATGACACAGAAGAAAAAGATGCCTGTGAAGGAGACAGTGGTGGCCCCCATGTGACTAGATACAAAGATACTTATTTCGTTACTGGAATTGTTAGCTGGGGTGAAGGATGTGCAAGGAAAGGCAAATATGGTGTCTATACCAAACTGTCCCGGTACTTGCGTTGGGTACGAACAGTCATGAGTTTGTAGGGYTGGTGTGTCCCTTGAACCTTCCATTAGCTGCCAATGTGCAGGTTTTGGAATGGAAACTGTCTTTTCCCTGCTTCTGCCAGATATGTTTTGAGATCTGATTYCTTAAAATTATGGTTCTGCCTCCATTTATATTATTCCTGGATTTGCRTGGGTTGAACAAKAGAATTTCTCCAAAGAAAATGGCTRCTCAGTGGAGTCATTGGTTTCTTCTGGTTATTTTTCAAAGGCCATTTTGCTTCCTCTCTTTTGACCCAAAAGCTTCTGCCAGAGGCTCCTAAAGTTGCTAAGAACTTTCACTAGTCACGATGAAAGCAGGAAGAACAGGAATTGAGTTAATCCTCATATTGCAACCATGTGGCTCAGCCGGGAGTTTGTCTTTCCTGGAGCTGTTTAGCTCCTACCTTGAGATGTGTTCAGAAGATTAAGAGAGCAGGGGATCTTGCATGGCTAAACAAAAAAGGGCTTTTGCTTTATAAGGATTGTACTTCACTTGACTTTATTTAGAACACTCTGCAAATCAGAATACAGAAAAAATATCTGGGCGAGGTCACCATTTTGAATATCTTCTTCTGGACTGTGTATGGCTGAGGATTGGAAAGCCCCTTGCATATGTATTATTCTACATGTTACTGTTAAATGCAATATTGATGTACACCAGCATTTGAAATAAAACATTTTTTCTTTTTTGTTCTTGGTTTGTTTGTTTTTTAACAAACCCCGCCCCCTCAGACTCTGTCTATCATTTGCTGTACCCCCTAACCATCCTAATGACCTTTCCAAGGCTCCTCCAATCTCTTATACTGCCCTATTCCTCAAGGAACAGTGAACTTCCTCAGACACCTGCTACTTCCCTCTTTGGGTTTGAGCTGGTACTGGCTGGTTTTGTACAGCAGGTGCTGTGAGCAAAGCAGGCTGACAAACTCGAAATACAACTCTGCAAAGCAGTGAGTATTGCTGCAGTCARCACTAATTGTGGGCAGGAAGGTGGGTGGGCAGGTCAGTTACCCCAGCTGGATGGTCTGGACCTGTGTAAGTCCTCAGTGGGYTTACTTCAATGTTTGCTCAGCACTGTTTGTTCCCTGAGTTCTGCCCACTGGATTTCTGTTCCASTCCTTTATCCCACACGTATCTGGCCTTGTGTTCAATCAGGGAGAAACATCCCTCTTCAAAGGAAAAACTCAGGTCCGGGTCCCACCCCAATCCTGTTTACACTKCTAAGGGCTTTGTCTACTTTAGTGAAGCTTGAGGACTGAAGCAAAATGGAGACTGAACTATAGGTATGTTGAAGTAGCTGAAGGCATCAGTTTATATCCAATGCTCTTTCTGTGACAGGATCTCTACTGACATGTACCAAGGATGGTGGACTGAGAGGCCCTGAGCTACCCTCTAGTGCTCAGGTTTCCTCTGCCTTCAAGGAAAAGCCAATCCTGAGATTGAAGGGAAGAAAAGAAGGATGGTAAGTAAACCTTGCGACTAGAGCTGSCCTCCAATAGATTTTGCCAGGGAGGCAATTAAATCTGATGCTCCTTGTCTTCCAGMGTGGGAGATGTGAGTAGGTCTTATCTGTGCAGCATGATGGKGGCTGCCCTAAGGAGCAGGTGTGGGTAAGTTTTCCTTTATTATGGTGTCCTACAGGATGGGAGGAAAACACCCTGCAGCTGGTGCAGTGTCAAACAGGAAGCAACTTCCCAGACAGCTCCTTCCCTGGAGCCTTGACCATGGTGCCAAAATTGTTATAAAGGTCAACTTGATGCCATGTTGACTCAGTGGGCTGGGCTGGGTGACCCTGGCTCTGGCTCCTGTTCTTCTGCCTTCCTTGGGACAAGGGCAACAGCCAGATTGCTTACTCTGGCTTCTTGCTGCCTGGATATTCCAGCTGGTTTAGGCAGCTTTGTCTATTTTTCATAGAGGAAGTCCCCCTAGAGCTGCTTTGCCAGCATACAGCGACCACGTTGGCATTGCTGCAGCACAGTGGATTTTTTTGTCTCTTAACGGTGTGCCATGATGACATTGAGTGCAGACTTTGCTCTCAGACATTTTGTTTTCTCGTGAGTGCATGACCTTTGCGCTGTGGTGTTTCTCATTTTGCAGCTGCCCCAGATTCCTGCAGAAAAAGCAGTGGGTGATGCACAGTGAGCTCGGAGGATAGGCATAGCTGGTCATCGTGGGACAATGTAGAGGTAGATATTGTGGGACAATGTAGACAGGTAGAGCTTTTGCATTAACTTGGCTTTGTGCTGCTTTGCCTACACCACACAGGTGATTGTCAGTATTTTTGTTTTGCAGAACAGGGGACATGAGTGAACATCCTGTACCTCTGCTGTCTCACCCTCCTTGCTTCCCTTTGTCAGGTGCAGAGTGATRATATCCAGGGCTCAGGCACATGAGGAATACCATTTTGGACAGGMAATTGTGTCAGTGTAAATGATGGGGGCAGTATGTCAATTTGTAGTGCTTTCYAACACACAGAATAYGCTAAGTTGGAAGGGACCCACCAGAATTGAGTCCAAACAAACAAGACAAACAATGGTCTATTCTTCATTTTCTGAAGACACGTGAAAATTAAATAATMCTTACTATCCATTTATAAGCTACCAATGACATAATGAACCCCACAATATTTAGCAGTGCAGAGGGGAATGAGAACCCTGCCCCATCACACACGATAATTCTGTAAGTCTCCAGAAAATCATGGCATCTCCACTTRATGAAGCATCCCACCTCTCTTTCAGACTGGTCCCTGAAATCTTCTTTATAGAGTAGGCTTATGAATCATAATGCAGCCATGATGCATGCCTTATGTTCTAATTTTGCTGTTGTCTCTGATTGGAGACAACTGAACAAACACCTGAGTCATCACCATTGCAAGAGTTGTGAGTTAGAGGTAGATTTTGACATCCCAGAAATGAGATGGGAGAGTTCCTTAGTGGGACACAGGATGCCCTGAGAATCTTCAGAATGTTTCAAGAAAAATCTCATACAAACATGTAGAAAGCAATTTTGTATGCACTTGTGTGTATTTAATTTTCATATATACACTAGATGTTGCTGACAATACCATGATAGAAGATGACTTTTATAAAACTGTAAAAAATGACAGAGCTATTAATGAAATAAAGAAAAAGAACAAAAGAATAAAATTAATATATTTTTAAAAGAGAGGCTACTTCTAAGATCCCCACAAAACCCCGAAGTATTTAAGGCATATATCAAAACTCTCCCAAGGTCGGGAAAGGACAGGATGATTGATTAAAACTGAGACCTTTTGTGACCTGACCTCCAAAAGGAAGTATAAAAGTGCCTAGCTCTGTATAAAAGAGTTGTAAACATCCTGGCATGAAACCAGAAAAGCAGAGGAGTAAATACAGTAAGATAAACATTATGTGAAAATCAAGAGCTGAGCTAAGTATAGGAATAATGGAAGAAAGACAAACAATTTTAGTCTGTGCCCGATGGAGAAGAAATACTTTCTTCCTTAAGATACCAAATAACTCACACCCAACAAGGAGGAAAGAAACTTCTGAACTGCACTAGCAGAAAATATCACAGCAAATTCCTCCAAGGGAAAAATGACATCAGTTTTCTCCGAACACGGGATGAGAGGCTGGGTGGCTGCAAAAGATGGAGTAAACATCAGGTCTTTCCTTTAAGGGAGGCTTTTAACATCATTTTATCTAACAATTTCATTTCAACAGAAAGAGAAATATGGCTAAATTTGATGCAAATCTGGTCGAGAAACTTGTGTTACTTGATTGAAAAATTATATGGAGTGCAAAGATCCATACAGGTGAGCCTGAATACCTYTGACTGGTAATTTCCACAGTAACATGCAAGACAAGAGAGAGTATTTACTCACTGCTTTTGTACCTCATTCCAGACTGGAAGGACTACTGTAAATTGAGATGAGCGTTCAGGCAATCTTAGGAAACTGAAACAGTGGYCTAACATAAACAGAAAGCAATTATATAAGCACAAGAACAATTTCACCTTTGGTCCCAAAACACACAACCACAGAAATAATATGTAATAAAAGCAAGACTGCTTCATTTTCATAAGGCTGAACAGGTAGGAGAAGAAGTAATGGGATCCCATCACTCGAAGAGCCACTCAGATTAGATGTTAGCAAACACTTTTTAGGCATTTTAAGGCAAATTAAGGAGTGYGTTGAGCTGTGTGAGTGAGCTGTGGAATTTCATTAAGAATCTGTAGGAACAGGTTAGACAGCATCTACTAGGACCAGTTTATTTGCCCTTGCAATGTTWGAGCCAGGAAGAGCTCTCTGGGTCTGCCTGTGATCTTGCAATACCAGGGACTGAGCTAAGACAGAATGAGCCACATACAGATGGACAAGGAATATTGCAAGGATCTACCAAGAGTCCAATAGCTCATTTATTACCGATGCTTTAGTTGTTGCTAATTTTTGCCTCTTACCCACATCCATGTTCATCTTTGCCTCAGTACGATGGCAAGTACAGATTGCTCCTTTAATTGCCCTCAAAGAGCTGTTAGTTATAGCTGGGAAACACAACATRAGATGTAGAATAATAGTCTAGGTCTACACTATGACAGCTTACATTTTAAAAATGGTCTTAAAAYGTTGGTATTATTAAAGCCTTTTGTGGGAATTGTGCTGTTTTTCCTAAAATGGTGGGGTGTTTGACTGACATTTGCAAGCAAGCTTCTATAAGCTGCTTGTACTTTAATGCATCTGTAACCTGCATTTGTCTCCTTTGCAGTCAATGATGCAAGGTTAACTCGGGAACTGCGAGCAGTTCTGCAAAACTGAGGATGAAAGAGTCACATGTTTCTGTGCTGCTGGCTGTGCCCTGGGCAATGACAAAGCCTGTGTTTCTGTAGGTATGAAGCCRTATTTATCGTTCATCCTGTGAGACACACATCACATCTGCACCACATTTGGGAAGKGCTGCTGTGCTGCAGTGCCACTGTAGCTTGGAAAATAATGTTAATTGTTCAAGCCTTTCACATGGCTTACCGAGCTGTTGATAAAAAATTTGATAAGACCTTAGGTAAAGGACATAATTTAAATAACATCAAATTACGCAACTGTGAGGGAGCAAAAATAGCTCAAGAAAGTAGTCTGTGCAATTAGTTGTGTTATCTCAGGGGACTGCAAAAATCCATGTCCCAGCAGGAGTAAAGCCATATCAGAAACTGATTACAGTGGGGCTCAGATTCCTCTTTTCCCRAAGGCACTGAAACCAGGCCCTTCATTCTATAGAGGATTTTATTATAAAGTAACAGGTTAGATTTATGATTGATAGAAGTTGGTGTCTGTTTTCAAGGCCTCTGGGATATGCTGAACACCTACAGATCCAAGAAGAGAAATCCAAGAAACTTCTCCCTTTACAGTGCACAGTCCACAAGGAACCATGATAATTTCAGTGGTAGTACCATAATGTGACTGCAGTTATATCTCACTTGTTTATCCTCAAATATCACCTGTTCCATCTSAAAGGAATACAATCTGCCTTTCTCTTTTCTTGTAACAACAGGTTTTCTTCAGTTAACACGTGGTACCCTAAAAATGCTAATAACTACTGACATGGAATTAAATTCCATCAATTTTGCTTTCATTCAAATTCAACATGGACAGCAGCTGATCTTTGTCTTGTTGGTTCAAAGAAAATCCTTTCTTTTCAGAAAATGGTGCCTTTTTATGTTCTGAACTTTGGCGGGCTAAGCACCGATTGGCAGTCTGCCCATGCAGTGCTACCGCCCACAAACCTTCTTATCCAATCACATCTCTGGTCAGKCGATGCCCAYRYGCTCTGTTAGCCAATCACAGATTCACACGTGAGTCTATCATGTGTCAATCATAGCAGTGCCTCTCTGTGGCCGCGCAACCTGTGGCCGAATCCTTCCCAGACTGACAGCTTCTGGGGGAAAGTGTGCAGAGCTAAACAGCATCTAACAGGGGAAGGAACTCATGCTATAAGGCTTCTCCTTAACCCCAACAAGCGACCACTTTAATTATCTGACACAGGGTGGTAGACAAAGAAAGGTAAGAGCCAATGCACTGAGTGGAAAAAATAATTKGCCGTGCTGAATTTGGGACAGAAACTTCCATCAGCAGCACAGTCCTTCTCAAATTGGACAATCCTACCACATTTTCTGAGAATGTTGTCCCAGCATAGCTTTCAGAAGACTTTGCTAGATATGTTCTAATGAATTAATTGGAACTGTCAGTGGCTTTAAGAACATGTTTGAATGTGCACTGCTAGTCAAAAGAAAGTGCTTCAAATCCCTTATGTGGACAGGGACATCTGCAAACTCACCCTGCACAGCCTGGTCACAGAAAATGTATTTTGTGCTGATTAGGATGGATGGAAAACATGTCCGCCAAAAAGATGGAGGAGACCCCCATGGAACCCAATAGAAATGGCATTTACTTTGTTATTGGTGTCATCAGCTGGCCAGACGGGTGTGGGGTGTGAGGGAAATATGAGTATACACCAACTTGTTATATTTCCTACCCTGGCGAAGATGTGTTTTGACAGAAGACTTTAATGGTTTTGACATTTAAGAAACCAAATTGCATTAGCCATCAGATCTGATTTTCCTCTTTTTAACATGGTTGCTAAAATTCTGCTAAAGTTCTGCATCYAAGAGATCTAATCTATTTCTTCATAGCTTAATGCCTGGTTTTCAGAAGATGGGCTTGGACTTCCAGAAGAGCTTGCTGGCTCCAGACAAGAATGAAATTTCTTCAAATGGTTTAGGAACTCTTCTGCTCTTGCTGTGATAACCTGGATTTATCTATTGTAGTCTTTAACTTTGTAGATAAGTCCATCTCCCTTTGCAATGAAAGTTGGAACTACCTCAAGCTGGACTAGGGTAACATCAAAGTAAGACAGTATCAGAGTTGGACAGCATTTTAAAAGCCTCTGAAGAGGCTATCTTATTTTCTAGATTTATAAACATACATACAGAAAAAAACCCTAGAAAATGTGAAAACCATTCATGTATCCACAAAAGTCTAATTAACTGTGCATGTCACTGAGTGAAATGAGTTGTTAGATGAAGCTCATCGAATTGGAAAGGCTTGCTTACTATCAGCAACATTGCTGCTGTTCTAATATCTTCTTGTTTTCTTTCTGAATTCTTTCTTCACCAGCATTATTGGTACAATGACTTTGGCTATAATAAAGTGAATGCATTGCATACACTTTATGTCATTATTTATATAAAAAAATAGAAATATATATAATACATAACATAATACATATATATTTATATGTATTATTTAAATCATTCACAACTGAAACATTTTAAATCTACAAGGATAACTAATATTTCAAGACTAATAAATGTGTAACTCTCTTATCAGCTGAATCTGACATCCTATATCTGCCTTATTTCAATCCAGGGAGAAAAAATTATTTGTTTTGCAGCCAGTTCAGTGGTATGTCAAAATTGTGGCACAGATACTGAGAGATTTGAGCCTCTACAGAAAAAAAAAAAAAAAAAAGGTACTCTGTGTTGTATTTCAAAAAGTATGTCAGTACATATTTTGAAAGAGAGGAGAAAGAGATGTTACAAATGGGATTAAAGTGTGGCATAAAGTGTGCAATATTTTTCCTCATTCTCTAGCTTCACCATATCCAGTTTTCAAGCATGAAAGTCACTATTTTGAAATGATTTTTATTATGGCATTTTTTGACCAGTTTGAAAGGAATAGAGCAGTAATTTTTTTTTCTGCAATGATCATTGTCCGCTTTCCCTATAAAATTCTGGAAAGCCCCATTCTGGAGCCTGTCCCAATTCTTTTATTTCCCTGCCATTTTTCTCTGACACATCCTGAACTTCAGGCTGCTAAATGAACTCAGTTCAGGAGTGACAGTGCACTGTAGGTCATGTTCAAGCCACAGACAGAAGTTAACCCCTGATGGGTGCAAATGTCACTCCCTGACATCACTGCTCCAAATMATATACCCCTGATTGAATTCCTTCTGTTGAAATCTCTGATTGTAGTTCAGCCCTAAAACATAGAGAGAGCAAACCTGATACACCGACCAGTGGGCCATGCTTGGATGTGTCCCAGGGACTGCAGAGAGGCCATAGCATAGGAATTGCTCTTGCTGGCCCATTCCCTCACTGCCATCCACCTCTCCTCCCACCCAGCCCTCCGTGACCCCTTGTTCCAGTTCTGCAGCACTCATGGTTTATTGGTAACCAGTTACAGAGGGCACAGACACCTCTGATGGGCTCTGATTGCTGTCTTTATCTCAACATGCATTCAGAGCAATCAGTCATCTGAGCTTCTCCTTCCTCACCTCCCAGTTTGCATTGCCAGGCATGAAGCACCATTACCAACCTCCTCAGATGTTCAGTACCAGATAAGAACAAATTCTGTCTGCAGGGACACTTACCACAGCTGCATAATTGCACAGAGAATTGCAATTCTCACTCAAGACATGAACCCAGGCACACATCATCAGTGCTCTGCCTAAATGCTCTGTGGGTATTCATGAAGGGGAGAGAGTTTTAACTCAGGTCTTCCTGAAGATGTACTTCAAAACTTGAATAAGCTTTTGTTTGCCATCTTATTTCAATATGAATGGATTGTTCTTTTCCTGTCATAAATGCAGCAGTCAATCTCCAGAAGCAGTCCAGCAGTGTGACAGTTGCACAAGTTCACAGCATCCATTTCTCCCATGGCTTGGAAGTCAGTTCAGAGCCAGTTCCACCACCCAGTTACATATGTCTGGGCTGTGGGTGGAAGCTCTCAGGTGCTGCTGAGGGCAGATTAGGACTTCTCTCCTGCTGAATCTGTTGCAGAAGAAGTGATTGGCTGGTCAAAGGAACAACTGAAATCATAACGTCTGGACACCACTGTGGGGCTGCTGCCCAATGTCCTCAGTGGAGAGAGTAAGGCAGAAAGACCAAGGAATAGGATACTGCATTAAAAAGTCTGAATTTGGGGTAAAGTTCAAACACTTTCTTATCTTCATTGTCCATTTCAGACTGTGTCAGTGTTCCAAGAGTTTGCCTGAAAAATCTGCTGTTTAGGTTTCTCTGAGAGCCRTCTTAACCTTTTTATCCTGAGCTCCAGGTTAGGGCAATGGGGAGATGTTACTGGACAAAAATGGAGGGGGAAAAAAAATCTTCGTCCAAATGGCACAGATTCCAAASTGATTTTGCTTCATTTTCCACAAGGGATGAGGGGATATTCCTCATCTCAGGGCAAAATTAAGCACCTTACCAACCCCCCTTATCCATCACTGAAACTGTAACTAAGAGCTGAAGCACTATGGTGCTATGGCGCTGTCTGTGCATGTGCTCTGCCCTCTTCTGCTTGTTCCACAGCCAGTTATAWTGGCTGTAATTTTGGTAGGGAAAAGAATTTTAATATAAAAGTTGGGGGAAAAGGTAAGCAATCAGGAAGGTGGAAGTAAAGAAATAATGTGTTTTAATTAATGACATACTAACAACAAATGCTATTTGTAACAGTATGTGCACAGAAACAGAAAATGTCAGAGTTTGCATCTACAGAGATAATAGAATCATAGGAGGGTTTCGGTTAGAGGGGACCTTCAAAAACCACCTGGTACAACACGTCCTACCATGGGTAGGGACACCTTCCACTGGACCAGGTTGCTGAAAGCCCCTCCTGCCTGGTCTTGAACACTTCCAGGAATGGAGCAAATGTCAGAACAGGCTTTTGTTTTCACTGCCAGGCCATCAGRAGACTTGCACATCCTTGTGGGTATGCTCGCAGTCTTGTATGTGCAGCATCAAAGGAGAAAAKCAGAGCTCCCTGGGGCTACATTCCTCCCCCTGTTCACTCCTCCAGGGTTTCCTGCTATCTGTAACCAAACCACAAAAACTCATACTGGTGCTGATGCTCTCTTGAAACAGCTGCAAGTTCCTCCCACTTTTAGAAATGCTGATCCACTTTGGATTCAGCAAGGAAACCTTTACAATTTTTTTCTGCAGGTGGTGAATAGACCTGGCTGATGGCAGTCCAGGTGTTTAGCTGAAATCATTACTCATTTTAATTGCATTAAGCAGCTCACTAGCTGAGKTATGCATTTCCAAAAAAGCACGTGATGAGTTACTCAGGACGGCTGCCCTTGGGCTATTGTACTACAGCAGGGCTGATGTCCAGCCAAGGTCCATAGTATGAGATGGGTGGCACTGACATGTCCCCATCATTGCCCCATCACTGCCCCATCACTGCCTGGACAGCTGGTCTGCAAACTCACTTCCCCTGGGTTGCTGCAATCGGCAGGGAACAATTTCCATGTGAACTTGTTGCTAAAGCAGGACTAATTCCCTCAGTTACTCCATCCTGAGGAACTGCAAACTTCATATCTGACACTGCCTGCAGGCTTCATCCTGGAATGAGTAACCCTCCAAGAGGAAGCAATCCATAAACAGGCATGCAGGAAATAGGGTGCAGGACTCCATAATTAAACACGTCAGTATGTGGTAATTAAAGGAATGAAAAATGTCCCAGYAATACTTTGTAAAGAAACACGTGAGGAAAGGACCACCCTTTTAAAACCCTCTGTTTATGAATTTTTTCAGTCATATAAAAGTTAAAGTTAAAAACTTGTTGCATTGATATCAATGCAGAAAAAGCAAAGTCAGTGCCATACGTACTGACTACGCTGTGTCCCATTCCTAAGGACACAGCTGCTTGGTCAAGAGATACCTTTTTAAAAAAAATCACAGTGAGGAAAAAATGACCATGTAAACTAAGATCTTTACAGCTTCTGAAGCTCTGTGTTATTAATATTGAACCAAACTGAATAACTAACTTACACCTACAAGACTTCTTTAATGGACATAGGTTTAGGTTTGTGAAATGTAAGCAGTTTCTTTAAAAAAAAAAAAAAATCTGCAGATCCACATTTTTGTGCTGGGTTCTGCAAAGCTCTGTGCTGACATCTGGTGGTGACATTTTTTATGCCGAAGGGAGCCAGACTGGCTGTGCTGTGTATCCATGGGATGATTCATTATCACCAGAAGGTAACGGCAAATAGTCCCAGGCCACTGGGGGCTACAGCAGCAGCCTCTCTAGCAGRTGCTCCCATGGGGATGAACAGCCAAAGGAATGTGGAAAAGCAGCACATCCACTGCTGTGCAAGGCAAGCAGGGTGAGGTGAGCCTCCCCAGCAACTGATTATTTGCTGCAGGTATTAGGGCCCATGATGTGAGCTGTAATATCAGCCCTGGGCTGGCAGGGACAGGTGAGGCATGTGGTCTGCTTCCCTCACCTACCTCAATATTCACTGAAGCTTGTTTTCAAAGCTGCAGTTGAWGGGAAGTGGAGTTTTATTTGGGGATGTTCAGATCCATGATGCACCCATGGGTGTTCAGATCAATCACACTTTGTTAAAAGAACTACATACTTTAATAACAGCTGGGGAGTTATGACATGAAAACACAGAATGGTCTCTGTTCATAAGTCAAATTAAATTAAAAACCACTCTTCCTCTCAGTGGCTGTTGCTCTGAGTGTAAGCAGAAATGGTTTTCTGCTCTTCCCAGGAGCCTGCCTGTGCTGGGAGCCATTGCATGTCAAGCAGGAGCTTATCCTGCCTCTTGTCCAGGGCTGGGAAACAGGGTCACCCCATCCAGGGGGCACAGCCGAGCAGCCCAGGGAGTGCTTTGGTCCTCTCTGTRCCCACACCTCCTTTCATGGATTCTTGTCTATGTGTGACTGGAATCCTGACATCAGGAAAGTTTTCCATGCTCTCCTTCATAGCTGGGCATTACAAACCTAGCAGTGAAAAAGAAAAATGTCATATCCACTTAGATGCATCACTAGGGGGCAAGTCACATGTTTGGGGGCTTGGTTGCTCCAAAAGCTAGTGGGATTTGCCCACTGCAGCTAAGCTTTGGTAAACATTTTACGGGGACAGTGTATAAAGGASCCACATCACGTAATTGGTCCCTGAGGTCATTGTCCAGCCTGTGCTTTGACATGGTACAAGRAAATGTCCGTGATGTCCATCTCCACCCATGCTGTGTTACTGTAAGTGAATGCTGAGGCATGGGAGGAATACCCAAATCTTGGAGCAGCTCTCAGTGGCACTGGCAAAGGGCCCCACAAGTCAACCAGGGGATGGAGAGAAGAGGCACTGTTGCACAATTGAGCTAAGGTTTTTTATTTTTTTTAATTTGATTTGGGTTTGCTTATTGGTTTTTTTTTTCCCTGTGTGTTGACATTGCAGCTGGGATTTGCTCTTAGAGGTTTTGTTTTCTCATGAGCAGCTGGACTTTAAACTTCAACGTCTCTCCTGTAACCATTTCCCCCAAGAGCTGCAGGWATGCAGGCAGGCACCATTAGGCTCAGAGGGCAACAATGGCAAGGTGCTCTTGGATAATATTCTTCCTTCTCTCTGCCCTTTTTCTTCAGACAGAGCAGACAGGTATGGCTTTCGTTTTGCTGCACCTTTAATTCTGATTTGTGCTGCTTCTGTTTTAAAAACACTAGTAATTTTGTACCTTGTATAATGTTTATTTTGCAGCACAGGGTGACTTCACTGAAAATGGTCTGTTCCATTTCTGTAATTACATTTCTCCTGTTTATTTCATGCAGCTAAGTGAAAACTGCTGTCAGCTAATGGGGCAATGTAGTTTTGAAATACCATCATTTAGCATAATATTTTGTCTTTCCTTACAATTTTTAGAGTGTCACATATATTAAAGAGAATTTTGTTTTATATTTCTAGTTGCTGCTGAAATAAAAAAAAAAATATAGTCCTATGAAAGAGGCTGATATGCATGCTTGTTATAGCTTGAGGAAGTTTGTGTTTCTGTATTAATCCTCCAYGGTTTGTCAAAAATAAGGAAGAGCCAGGCAAGGAAGCAATAGATGGTGATATCTTAAGAAAGTCAAAACACCCCGCAGCAGAAGTTTATTGCCAACTGTGCTGGATATGGCAGAATCACTGCACAGCAGGAATGTGTGCTGGGGGTCAGATAACATTTTAAAATGCAGAACAGGGTCATGAAACTTTTCTTTTTTTAAAATCATATGCAAGTCAGTTGCTTATGGGGTATCCTTCAAAAAGATAACTAAACATCTGTACACAGTTTCAGAATAATTTTGCTTTTGCTCTCACTTTTTCCAGTTCTGTGATTATTGATTAYTTCAACCAGCAGTGTTGGGCCCCCAAACACTATATGAAAGAGAAAAAAAACCCAAATATTCCCTGCTCCAACACATTCACTTTCCAAGCACATAAGAACTGACAAACACATGCTGACACACACAATCGCATACTGCTTCATGTGGAAGACAAGGCTCCAGGGCAGCACCAGCTGCCCAGCTGGAAGGCAGTTTTGGATGGGTTACCATTTGCAAGGAGGAGTTTTAAGATCTGTTAACTCTCATGTCTCTGGTCTCTCCTCCTCCTTACTCAAATCCAAAAGATTACAGTGTCTTCTATASAAACAGTGGTATGTAACATAGCCCACTTAACTATGAGCATTGCTGAGGAATACTTTTATTTATTCTCTTTAAGAGAGAATTGATTGAGAACTCAGCCATGTCATTGCTTTGCTTCTCAGAAAAAAAAAAATTGCCATAAACTGAGACTGAAGAGAATCAGTTTGTATCCACCATCATAACTTAATACAACTAATATTCACTTCTACTGATGACTCTGAAATTCCCATGCATTCTCACTAAATAGCCTCTGCCTTTTATAAGAATGTTTTTCCCCTTTCCCTGGCTGTGCCACTGCACACTGCTCTGTATATCTCATGCAGTAAAATAATGTAATAGGAAGGGCTTTAAATTCCCCCTACTTGGGAGGAAGTCAGGCATTTCTCAAAAGTAAAAGGTGGCAACTCCTCAGCTGAATTTGGACTAAGACAGAAGAGCTCTTTAAGTATRTAAGTTTTATGTGGCGGAAACTTGAAATTAACCAAAATCATTTATATCTCAGAAGATAAGGTAAAAGTATATAGGGGAATGAATCTATATAATTACATTAGTGTTTTCTTACACATTGTTCCAGTATTTATATCAGCTGATGATGCAAACAGTGTAATCAAGAGACAGAGGCGTGCCAGCTCCCTACTTCTAGAGGAGGTCCTTCAAGGCAGCTTGGAAAGRGAATGCCTAGAAGAGAGATGTACACATGAAGAAGCGAGAGAAGTGTTTGAAAATGATGAAATGCTTGTAAGTATTTGGGCTTTCTGCATGCGTAATAAAAACTGCTGCCTCGATCCTTTACTTATGAAACACAAGAGTGCTTCATTTGTATGGGTTTCTCTCCATGTGAAATCTTTGCATTTGCCATCTCAGCAGGTAGCAGGCAGGTGTCTTCCATGGTCAAAATGCAAATGGGGAGGTCAGCTCTGATACTTTTTAAGTCCCCTCCTGAAAATGATGTGTCCCCTCCTTAGGTTATTAAATCACAGGGTTGTTGTCCCATCCTGACCACACACAGAAATACAGCTCCAGCATCCCTTAGGGAGCAGGAGGGGCAAAGAGTGTTGGTCAGCAGAAGAGAACCTGAAAGGCAGCACAAGGTATTCCAGCCACTCCAGCCAATAAATTGGCTTCATCAGGGATCAGCTCAAATGCCTCCATGCAAATGCATTCAGCATGGGGGATAAATGAGAGGAGTGAGAGTTGTGTGAGACACTGGAACAAGTTGCCCAAAGAAGCTGTGGATGCCCCATCCCTGGAAGTGTTCAAGGCCAGGACAGATGGGGCTTTCAGCAACCTGGTCTAGCAGAAGGTGTTCCTGCCCACAGCAGGGGATTGGAACTAGATGATTTTTAAGGTCCCTTCCAACCCAAACCACTCTGTGATTCTATGATTGGGATGGARGGAAGCAATGCACCAGCAAGTGCTGGGACCTATAGAGAGAAGCTCACTTGGTGAGTAGCTGCAAATTCCCTTGCACAAGAGGCTCTCTGGACATGTACAGATGGATGCTGTGCTCTTTATAGGGAATCTGGATGGAGTTTTTGTTTTTAGGGAGAGCAGAGGAAACAGCTGTAGGGCTTTGGGGAAGGGAGGGGTGGGCAGAGGTGTCCCTTCAGGGAAAGCAGCACCAGGGTCAGCTGCAGTAGGCAGGGAAATGCAGGGTACACAGTGGTGGTGAGCAGTGCTGGTGCCCTGCAGCTCTGTTCTGTGCTGACTGCTCTGCCTCCACAGCACCTGTGGGGTGGGACAGGATGGGGTCACTTCCCAGGCTGCTGCACACCAGAGAAACAATAGCCAGCCAGTTTTTTCAGGAAGCTACATTGCTAAAGGATCCAGCTGTTCCCCTCTGGCCTATGAAGTGTTTATTTTCCTTTATAGCTTCTTAAGAAACAATAGAGTAAGCAGTGGGCAAAGTTCCTCCCATCTCATGGATATTTTGCTAGCAGGGCAGAAACTGTAGCTGTGCAACTTTGTAAACATTAAACCATTGTATATATTCTCTCATAAATGTTTTTGGCTTAGTAAAATATTTATGGCGTATTACATTACGTGAGAATTAAAAYCTTACTTCTTTTTTTTTTTTCCATCCAGAAAATGTTTTGGGATATCTACTATGGTAAGCTGGCCTCTTGATTTCTCTCCATCATGAYACTATCACAATATGAACATTATGATTCAGTCTAACACAGGTTTTCTAAGAGTTTATGCAAAAAAACAAGTCTCTCTTTGTCATGTCTGCAATAAAGCAGAAGGAAAATTCTTGTTGAGGAATGATCTTTAAAAAGTAATATATAGGAAAAACCATTTAAAGCTGCAAAAATAATGAAAGTGGAAGGTGAGGAAAGGTTATGATAGTAAATAGGCTACTTCTTTTTCTGAAACTAAAACTGTTCTGAAACAGTCTGGGACATGAGGAAGTATGTTTTGCTGGCACAACAGAGCAGCACAGTTTTACCAGCAAAATCTCCCAAATACAGAACTAGCACTYGAACCTGAGTGAGATGAATAGGTATTAATGAATAGGTATTAAAAGCTACTGAACTGCCTACAAACTCTGCACACTGGCATCGCATCATTCCCTGTCAGCTGTCAAGGCAAGAAACAAATCTGTAGGAGCTGAGGGCCTGATGTAACTAAATGCCACCTGARCAAGGAGTCTGTGGTACCAGCTGATGGAGACTATGCCCTATTCCCTCCCTTTTCTTTTGTATGCTTCATCCCAAGCTTTCCTCTTGTTTTTAATTTAGCTATAATTAATTTCTAATCTTAGGTTTAAACTGTGAATAAGAGGTGGCAGAACACGCAGTCAGTAATAATTTTCTGCAGAAGCCACTGAACCACAGAGTCGTGGGAACCATTGCACAGAAGATTCCCAAAAGTGCTATGTTATGAAGAATGATGCTAAATATCTGGAATTTTATTACTTCTGTGAGGGTGGGATTATTTTCTATTTTGAGTCATTGGATGTTTGCACTAAGCATGTCATGCAGGCTTCCTCTCTAGTCTAGGAAGAAGGGTGACCAGTCCAGAATGGTCCCTACAAACAAGCTTAGCCACAATCAGGACATTACCAACTTCAGCCTCAGGGGTGGCTTTCTTGCTGTAATTAAAAGCCKTATGTTCTGTCATCTCCCTAAAGAACAACAGTGTGTGTTTCATTCTTTGTGATGACTTCTCTAACATTTTGAAGAGTGTTTCTTTCCTCCTCACTAAACAAACACATTTTTTCATCCTGTCTTCCAATAATATAACTTTCTAGATTTCTGGTATACATGTTGYTTTCCCCTGAAAGTCCAGGATGCAGTGGATAAATCTGCATTGTGAATAAAAGAGAGCTGAGGAGAAAGGCTGAGYACCCACCTAACACACACCAGATCTGTTTTGCACTGCTCCACCTTTGTCCCTTCAAGTCAAAACTGATGTASTGGCATCTTGCTGGATGTCTGCTGTCAGGGCACTTTGCCTGAGGTCATGCTTGTCCCTGGCTTTCTTTTATTAACAGTATAAACTTTGCCATTGACAATCTCTCTTGAAACATCACTTACCAAAAGTTTTGTGTATGCCTTATAGCAGTCTGTGTTTTCCTAGCTCACTTAATGACAATGTCATTGGAGACATTTCTATTCTGTGATGTTCACTGATTCCCCCTAGGTCCCTTATCCTATAATATGATTAGATTTAAATGGTTTGAATAATTTGATCTTGAAAAATATATGTTGGTTCTTACTTACCACCTTTTTATTTTGCTAGGTGCTTACAGTTTAATCATTCTAGTGGCTTTCCAGTAACAGAAATCATGCCAATTTCTCTGTATTTCCTTGAATCTTCTCTTTCCTCCTTTAAAGAAGCCAGGTGCTGGATTGATTTTGTTCCCAGCATGCATTTCAGAGGCTTGAAGCCATCTAAGTKCTTCAGGCTGCAGGGGTAACCATTCCCTACCTCCAGCTCCTCAATTCTGCCTGCTCAGCTGTGTAGGTGTGGTTCCCCTAAGTCACCCCAAAACCCTCCCAGGAGGCCTATGCTGAGTTTGTTTATGCTTGTGGCATCTGACTGCAGATGGGTTGAGGGTGGTTACTCTTTCAGCCAATATTTTAGTACATCTAACTCTCAAAGATATGTGTGCCCATAGCCTGAGCAAATGATGATTGGTGTTTTTTTCCCAGTAGCAGGCAGAATTTTCACTTTTCCATCCCTGAAATCAGCTAGGGCAGCTTGCTGACTAAGTTAACCTCTCTGACAAAGTGTTRAATTTTAGAAAGGTCAGACGTGTCCCATGTTAGACTTTTCTGGGCTGCTTACTAATACCTTATGTCTACAATAAACAGTTATTACTCGGACCATGTTTTCAAACTGTTTTGGAGTCATTCCCATGGGCAGTTGAAGGGAAACTGGCAGCTTGCTTCCCTCATTGTGAGGACACTCTCTCCTGTCAATGGTCAATTCATCAGAAAGATCAGGCTTTCTCGTCTCTGAGCAGTGGTATAATAATTGTACAGATAAATAAAAGTCATATTTCCTCCTGTTTTGAGGTTGCTTGCKGTACACTTGCTAAATAATTTTGATGCCAGCTTTTTCTATCCAGTGCATATCAGTCTAACATGGGAGACCTAAAAMACCTRTCTCTCACATTTGTAAYAAAGCATGAACTCTAACTCAGTCCYTTACCCTGGAYCAGAGCACAAATCCTCCAGAAGCAGGCTCTGCCTCTGGGCACCTCCCAGCTTCTCTRACAAGGGCTACAAGAGTGTCTCTGGAAGCAGACTTGAGCTAAAATTCCCCCTGAGGAGCAGTTCAGTGACACTTAGCCCATTTCCTTCCAAACTGTTCCCACGCCCTTCTCTGAGTGGCTCGTGTGCTGGGAAGGGGGCTGTGTAATTTGGGGTCAGTGGTGGTGTTCATCCTCCCTCTCCATTTCTCCAGGTGGCAGGAGATGCTCCTCGAGCCCCTGCCAGCACAATGGCGTGTGTGAGGAYAGCATCCGTGGCTACACCTGCACCTGCACCGAGGGCTACGAGGGAGAGAACTGTGCTTTCGGTAATGCACTCCCCCTTCGGAGAATCGCCCCATCCCCTCCCATCGCAGGGTGTCCCTGTGAAACCATACACAGCTCCCCCATGATGCCAGTTACCACGTTTTTGGTTAAAACACACAGTTCCTGGTGGAGCAGGGGGGATGTGTGCAGCCTGTCTACAAATTATTATGGCATGCTGAGGATACACAGGCTGTCCCTGCCCCCCGAGCCTCCCTTCTCTGGGGATGCAGCAAGAGGGCTGAAACAAAACCACAACATCCCAAAGCAACCCTGCCACTGCCACTGCCACCTGCACTGCCTGGCTGYTTGTCCTGCACTGGTCCCAGATGGTGTGTGGCCTGAAGGACCTGTGCTTCCCAGCTACCCTGGTGCCTCTGAGGACACACACACCCCAAGACACTCCCTCAGGACAGAAGGACTCCAGAAAATAAACAATTTCCGGTGGAAGTGAAAAGAATGAAGCAAAACAGATGCTTTCTGGCACAGGAAGCCCCTGGGCCAGATACTACATTTTTATATCCGCCAGGTTCTACTTTCCAGCCCTTACATCAGTATTTCTGCTGATTCAGAGGTCCCCTGGYGTGGGAGACGCCCTGGCTGCAGCAAGGCAGGGTCATTTTCTGTATAAGGGGTGTGACTGTGACCAGCTTCTGGGGGAGCACAGAAGGTGACACAGCTTGGACCAGTGCTGGGAACTAGATCTGCTCTGCAGAGCCTTAGGGAATCACGTTATATGAGGTTCTTTGCTACCTACAAGCTAAATCAAACAGCTGTTGCTTTGTGCTAAAGATTTAAGTGTTTGTTCAGCTATGGAAAGTTGAGCATGTTTCAAAGTTTGTACTCCCTTTCTTTTTTTTATCTTTGCTGGATAGTAATTTAAACAAGCGTGCAAAAGGAGAGCTATGTATTTGTTTTCTCTCAAAACCAGAAACTGTGGCTGCCTTCTTCCTCAAGCAATACTTGTCTTCTTAACATGTGCAACAGTACCCTTGCTGCAGATACTTGGTGCTCTGTTTAAAAACCCAGGGCATCTTTCCATGGGTTCAGGAGGGCCCAGTTTGAGCTATGGCTAATGTTCCCCAGAACTCAGAGGTACAGTGTCTGGTGCAAGGAGGTTCTGGGGGGAGCAGTTTGCAATGAGCTTGTGCATACTGCAGAGAGCTCTCTCCAATTTCTGCTTAACAAGGGGGAAAAAAATACTACCAAGCCAGAGTCCCTACCCACCTCCACACAAAGTGAATAAAAAAAAAAAAAACCAACATAGAGGACTCAAACTATGAAGGAACACTCCACCTGAACCATTCCAAATATTTTACCTCTGCTTGTTCTGTTTAGCTAAAAATGAATGTCACCACCAAGCAAAGGTAGGATGTGACCATTTCTGCTACCCAGGAAGAAATTCCTACCGCTGCTCCTGTGCTGATGGCTACAAGCTTGGGAAGGACAAAAAACAGTGCATTGCCTTAGGTAGGTGTGAGCATGGACATATGGGGGGCAGCAGGGGGCTGGGGTGGGCWGGCCACCATCTGACATCCAGGAGTGATCAGCTTGCTTTGAGGCTAGGGCGATGAGAATATCTACTGTGTAGAAGAAAAAGGAACCTAGAGACCAAAGATGGAAAAATAATGGTAAAACAAGGGATATTTGGTCAGAATATTTAAATAGTAATCAGTAGACAGGACTTGCATCACCCTACCTATCACTCACTGGACCAGGTTTTCCACTCGTAGGTTTGCTAAAAAGTAACACTGCTGAACACGTGTGCTTGAGAATTAGCTTCAGTTGATTCCCATCAGGCAACCATTGGTCTGATAAATGAAGGGAAATATTTGCTGCCATGTTAATTAGCTTGAAGTAGTAGCCCTTTTGATTTCTTCAGKCTCACACGAGATACTTTATTCAATCTCACACCCTTATGAAGGAATTCTACTAAAAACACAGAAGCATACTTAGACCTGTGTCTGTATTAGTACAAGTGGGGCAGCTGAATCGGAGCTCATCTGTAGAGCCACACTCATGGTGGTGAAAGACTGATGTCCACACTCAGTGCACACTTTGATGCTTTACATCAAACTGGCTTAGTTCAGTCCTGCTCAGCACCCATTAGTGGTGAGAGCATGTCATGTGTGCTTATGGAAGGTGTCCTGTGGTTTAGCCTCACCTGAACAGAATCCAGTCTGTGTAATGCAAATCCAAACCAACTCGAAGTGTGACAAATGCAGATAATGGATCCAATTGAAAGGTGATTCAGTTGAAAAGCATGTGTGGTGTTTGAACCAGAGAAAGGCATGCATGCCCCTAGAATGACAGCTGGAACAAGAAAAACCCAGGATGTCTCTTGTCCAGACTGGACCACAGCTATCAGATATTTGACATAATTTGAATACAGCACACAAAGAYGAGAAAGCAAGCTGTGCTGATGGTTGGCTGGAGAGGAAGCCTCATGTCATCAGTGACAGGCATAGTGWAACCTGGCCACTTACAAGCAGCCCAAAATGTTCAGCCCATTGCTAAACTATTATGACAAATTCCAAGCACGTTGTTCCAATTTTCACCAGCTGAGAAATTGTCATTGTCCTTTTCCTTTCTGCAAAAAGAGAACCCCAAAGTCAAGGTGGAACACAATAAGGCATTTGCAGGTATTAGCTGTCTTGAAATGATACAGCACAAAGTTTTGATACTTTTGTTTAAATTCATTTGGTAGATGCGTGTGCATGTGGCAGACTTCAAGACAGTGGTAACCTGATAAGTGAAACCAGGAAGAAAAGTGATRAGCGATTTCCTTGGCAGGTACTCCTAGCAATTAATGAAATGCATCACTCAACCTCACAGGGACAGTGCTATCTATTGTCTTTTTACATTTTCTTAGGTGCTACTGCTAAACCCAGAAGGAAAAGGCTTYTGTGGAGGAGTGTTGCTAAAAAGTAACTTCGTGTTGACCACAGCAGAGTGCGCCCTCCTGCACAGCCATTTTGAAATCAGGGTTGGTGCTGGTAGGTGATCCAACACATTTTCTGTTGCTGCACCACGTTTCCATATTGACAAGCTGAATTTTTAAAAAGCTTACTGAACTTCTTGCTGCATGAAAATATTGTTAAAGGAAATAAATATGCTGTCATTTCATTTAAAGAGCTCAGTCAAGTATCTGAGCTGGAACTACAGCTGCCCCACTACSCTTTAGAAAGCAAGCAGACAACTGCCTCTTGAGCACAGTTCAAAACTCAGCATCCAGGGGTCAGCTAAACATGGTGGATTTAATGGCGGCTTTAGTTTCATGCCAAAATTTACGTCAATGTTGTGTATTTGTCCTTACTGCTGAAATTATGCATGCTCCTATGAAGCATTAAAAAGCTCATTTCCCTTTACTGCAGCTGTTTTAAAGGACAGCACCTCGAGTTCCTCTGCTGCATGAGTTTCTCAGCAAGATCATGCAGTTCTCAGCTTGCAGGTAGCTTTCAGGTCTCTGATAAAGTATTCCTAAGAGCAGTGGAATGTCCTTGCTTCACAGGGCCCAATGGAGCAAGTGGAACTGGGAAGACAATGCAAGTTAGGGAGAAGCACATACACATCCGCTACGATGAAGACACTGGTGAGAACAACGTCGCRTTACTACAACTCCAAGAGCATGTTGAGTGTGACAACCACCACCTTCCYGTGTGCACCCCTGAAAGAGACTTTGCAGAACATGTCTTAATTCCAAAACTRGCTGGTACAGTCAGTGGCTGGAGAATGCAAGGTGATGACCTTCAAGGTGATGAGCTGCAGGTTTCATACCTTCCTGCTGAGGACTGCAATCAAATACTCAACATCAGCCTCACAAACAGGCAGTTCTGTGGGCACCTCCAGGAGGCTGTGGACAAACAACTGGCTGGAGGAAGCTTTCTGGCTACTGAGTAYAAGGGCACGTGGTTTCTGACTGGTATCCTGGGATCTTGGCCGCTAGAGGACACTGAGTGGGAAACATTGCTTTTCACCAACACCGCCAGGTACATGATATGGGTTAAACAAAAAATAAAATGAGACACAAACACAACCAACTCCCAAGCACCAAGCCCCTACCAGTATTCCAAGGAAACATAAGGATGCAGCCAGGATCCTCATTTTACTCTACTACAATTTGCAGCAATAGAAGTTGCAACAATGTGTTTAACTCCAGTTTATAGAGAAGAGCCTGCTTGTCTTTCCTGCTTCTGCTGACACACAGTACTGAGTCATGATGCAGTAAGCCTAGTTATTGTGCTAAAAACAGATTCAACTTTCARTTTCCTAGAACTGTTCAACCTAAACCTCAAAACATGTCAAATATTTTTCTGTGATTTTAAATSTTGCTAGTACTCTGAGGTTTGATTCAGCAAATTCGTAGTATTTCAGGATCCATACAAGTAAAACTTACAAAGACAGGGGGAATGGCAAGTTTTTTAATTGTCTGTGTTGAGGAAGGACTTGACACYTTCATCATGCTAAAAAATGCTTCCCCTCATACATGGAACCTATGTTTTCCCTTATGAATGACATCCATGTCAGTTAGAGGGTAAAATAAAACCCARCTGTCAAAGACAGAAAAGAAAATTGAATTTCTTTTTAAAATAATTTTAAAACCCCAAAATTCAATCTCATCAGTCTGGACTAAGTTATAATGTACAACCCCCAAACAAACAAACCAAACCCCCAGCATAGTAACACTTAAAATACTGAATCCAGTGGTAGTGTTTTCCCCAAAAGCAAAATAAAACAAGAGTATGGATTAATTAGCTACTCAACTTTTTTTCATCGTAACAAAAATTAAACAAAATATTACCAGAATTGAAAAAAAAAACAAACCCAAACCCACCTGTGTGCACCTGCCACATTGACACAGTAAAGTTTTTGGTGTCATATGCTTCTCTAGTTTTTAGAGAAAACTTSAAGAGAGTATTTAATACCAAAAAGATTATTGAGACTTACAAAAAAATTGGAAACCATGTAAGAAAACATTATTTCCATTCTGAAGAATAGATTAACACAAGTAACAAAGGCTGATACTTCTCTCTGAAAGATAAACRCAGAAATAGTAACACAAAGTACTTTATAAAAGCTTTTAAGTAGTTCAGAAGGAATTTGGAATGCTTTGCTTTATTTCTTCATGAAATAGTTCGAATGATCTAGAAAGCCTGTGGAAACTACCATTTAAAAGTTAGCATTTCATTCCAATGCACTTTGTAACACTGGCTGCCTTGGCCATTCTGGGAAAGAAGCCACGAACAGTTCCTGGTATTTCAGTCCTGGACAYGAACCAGGCCATTTACAGTGCTCTTGGGGTGACTGGGAGCAGTTCCACAGGGCAAACCCTGTATCTGAAGAGTACTTGCATGGCTGAAATGCAATACTCAACACACTGTTGACAGAGGAGGAAATGGGTTCTGCTTACTGACCACAAGCTTCTGATGTTGATGGGATATGTAGCCTTTAATGTGACCCTGGCAGAAGGAGAAAAAGGCAGTGTTAGTTCTGGGAGCTGCTAACACAATCCCTACAACCCAAGCAAACACCTACAAGCTAACCATAGCCAAGCTGTGCATGCTCCATCACCACTGCACTACTGTTTTTAATGTCCCTGAGGRTCCAATTTATGTAAGTGGGTCACCTTGGAGAGTGAGTGGAAAGTTGGAGCCACCACCACGTTTGTGTACTAAGGGCACTGTCAGACCGAGAGGCTCTTGCCAGGGCCCCCTACAGGTCTGCTGACACTGCCTTGAAGAGACAGAGCTCTACAGAAGTGCTCCTAAATTTACTCTTGTTCACTTTAAAATGAGGATTTTAATCAGTTAGTATTCCAKATCTAATAAACTACATGCTTTCTTTCCAATAGTGTTGTAACACTGAAAGAAATCTCCTAGTGACCTAGATCACACCAAATGTTTCAGAAACAGAGAAGTGGCCAATTTTCTTGCTGACATGATGCAGAAAGAAAAAGATGCAATGGTGCTTCAAAACTTCTGATTTAATACAAATATTAAGATTTCAAGCCTTTATCCATTCATGAGTAATTCAGATTCACTTAGAGCAAAAGATAAAATATGGAACAAAACCAAAGGAATCTGGCTCTATTTTTTTCTAATTTGAGAAGATCAAGAGTCTACTACTTCAAGTGCAGAACAAATCTTTTTGGTGCCAGTTAAAATGTTTGTATTTTTAAATCAATGTTAATGCATATATASAAATGTCAGTATTGAATTTGTAATGTGAAATTTCAAGTTCAACTGATTCTTGCAAAAAAAGGCAGGAACTAAAGGAAGTCCTCAGGGCACATGTAAACATTTCACTTGGAGCACAAGTCCAGCAATCCTTAAAACACAAGGAAATCAGGGATTACTGAACTGTTATTCTCTAGCTAATGTTTTTTACTGTCAGAATTCTGGAAGGACCAGACAAGGAGTGGTCAGCACTTACCATATATATAAGGTTAGCTAAAATACACTGGACTTCATCAATATCAACATCATCTACTTGCATAAACTTCAGAGCAACCAGAAAAGCATCTAGAGATAACTGATGGGTTTTGAGTAGTAAATATCTGAAAGAAAAGGAAAAATGTGTTATTGAGAAATAATCACAAGTTCTGKTTCTTAGAAAAATGGCCTTTCTACAAGAAATTCACCTTAACAGGAAGTCAGCTCTCTCAGAGAACTAAGGAGCATATACACTTCTACCTCACTCYCCAGTGAAACCATATTAAATCTGCTTTTGCAAAAAAAAGTAGGTTTTGCTATGCTTACACTTTCTTGAAGAGATTCCTATACGTGATAATTTTCARCTTTTCAAGGATAAGAAAGATTCCACATCGAATAAAGAAGGTCTCATGCTTTGTCAGAGCATCATTCAATAGGAGAAGATTTCCCTCACTGCAAGGATAAAGAAATGAAAAAATGAGAACATTTCACCCGATGAGAAATTATCTGATGTGGTAAGAATATGCCTCCACTGCTTTCCTCCATCATCCCAAAGAAATACTTTTTACTTAATACTTTTTGAATAGCAAAAACCAAGCATCATACCTCACAGACTTTGTTACTTCAGCAAACTGCATAAGGTCATACTTTTTTAAGAGTTGAACTGTTGGCATATGGCCCTGAAAAATAAATGGTGTCCAAGTTTTCCAGGGTAAAGTCAAATGCATTTTAAATAGAATCTAGTAAGCTATAAAAAAAAGTTGTTGAGAAAAAAAAGAGGAATGTTTAACCATTTTTTTTGCTATAGGGTAAGAAGTGAATACAAGTATTTTAAGACACCCTCTTGTCCATCTCAAACACCTTGCAGCACAACTCACAATAACTACTGATTTATCATGATTTAGCGAATATAAATACTTAATGTTAGGGAACAGCTATCAAACTTGTAGAATCAAGATAGAACCTTTCACATGAGGCCTTAACAGATTCAAATTTTATGTCCTACCCCCCTCCAAAAAAAAGAGAAAGATTAAATTAGAAGAAACAAAATTAATTATTATTGCTAGATCACTTAAGACAGAACCATCTACAAAATCAAAAAGAAACTTTGTTTTTTATTCCCTGCACAACAAAGATCAGAATGTACATTGACTAGGTCAGACTTTAAATTTAGTTACATCATGCCATGCTGTTGCTAACTCCTTTCCTGGGTGAAGGATTAGCTGAGAGCAGAAYTGAGCTGCAGGTTTACTGAGAGCTKCTRGGAAMAAAAAACAAYATACAAGCTATTYTAGAACAGTTTGAAGYTAGTGTTAATGTTTGGGCTCTGATTTTAAAAAAGCAATTGCAAAAACAATGACCTTTTTCCAGTTTCTTTAGYGCCTCTTATACACTAGAACTGCTCMAGAAAAGCCACAGTAATTCTAGGCACTAACAGACCCATCAGTTGAAGGCATCCAGTCAAGATTGGAACAAAGTTTTTAGAGAGACTGTCAGTAAGTTTTCCTTTATGAACCCTACCACTGATTGATCTGAAAACAATCACTAAGAAAGTTAATAAATAAAAAAAGGAAAACAGAAGCCAATTACCATACCTGCTATACTACCCCTTTACCCACTTGACACAGCAAGGGATTGGAAAGGGACCACTGAATGGAAGAGGCRGGGAGGTCACAAACAGGTCAAGGGAAAGGTGGAAAATGAGAGCTCAACAGAGGTAGGTCATAACAACATTCTCCATGGGTAACTTTGGTAACAGGGCCAGAACAGGAAACTCTGAAACCTACTTCCTAACCCCTCAGTTACAATTAATTAATTCTCAGCATAATCCACTCATTCAGGGATACAGAAATGTTAGCACAGCATATGGGAAAGGAGAGGAACAAAAAACAGATGTGYTTAATTCTTTTAACAGAAATATGAAATGGTCAAACAGTAACAAGTCTTCACTGATTTTTCAAAACCAAATTGCTCTGCCTCATGACTCTTCTGATGAAGAAGAGTCTTCATCATGCCTTGAATGGGAAAATGTATGACTTCAAATAGAAAACCCAAACATAGGCTGTAACTGTGGCAAACCCCTCTCAAYAGTCCTCAGCCATCTGTTTGCACATCCATCTTCCTTCCACCAGGTGAAAGAAGCAGACAAATTTGTTCTAGTGAATACACATCTTCCCTGGCTTTTGTGAGCAGTTGATCAGCAGAGGCACTCTGCTACAAGACAGAAGTTACACTGTGAGTGCTTCAAATAATTCAAAAATACCTTTATTACAGAAGTAACATCAGGTTGCTCCCGTACGCCGGGTGGGACAAAGGTAGGGGTAAAGAGGGCCAGTTTGGTTTTGTTTGCGGGTGCCTTTTTCTTGTTTGGCTGTGTTTTTCCCCTCCTTTCTCCTTTCCTGTGTTGCTCTAAATTACAACTCAACACTTTTTGCCCTCACACAAYAAGGTGTGCATATGCTGGCTCTTACAGGGGTAAAAGTGCCTCTGAATTCCAGTAACAGAAAAGCAAGAAAATACAGAGCATCAGTTTTACTACCTGCACGTATATCCCCTTCCCCTAATTTAGGAAAGTAGTATCTACTCACCAACAACATTTTTACTGGCAGCAGATAGATCAAAATCATTCTTTTATTCTTCTGGCTTGATCGGTGACAGTGCTCAAAGGCAAATGACAGATACTCTTCAGCTGCAAACACGAGTAACAAGAATCAACAACAAAAATGGATTAAAGCTRTAACCCAAATTCTGTGCTCAATTCCATCTCTACCTTGAACACACAAAATTTGAAATTGTATAAAAAAATCACACCTACCAAAATATGTAAGGAAAAGTAGGAGAGTCACAGCAAATACAAAGTATTACCGGAAAAATAAATAATCCTTTAGAAAGTCAACGAAAACTTRTTGAGGTCTAGATGTCAGACATTTCAGCTACAAGTAATATTAGATTTTTCAGCTCATTTCATCAATATTACTGTGCTCCTATTACAGAAGCAGAGAATCTCAAGACGTGCTGATAATACACTGTTTTCTAAATTCAGATTAGGTTCTTCAAGGGATGAAAGCTGAATTCAATTCACACATCTCCTGAGCTGCAGAAACGTGCCAGTGAGACCACAGAGCATAACAGCATGAAAATCTGTCAGCAGCTTCCACTGCTTAGAGAAAAAAATGRTAACTCTGAGAGGCAGAACACTCTGTTAGGAATAACAGAACTAGCTCCAGAATAGATGCTGGTCAAGGCTTCAGTTAGTGATGCTCTAGAAGCATTTCTGTTACTTATTAGAAATCTAAGAAATGTAGTTCCTACATCTTCCAAAATCAATGCATTAAAAAACTAATCCTACATTAAAGTTTGCTGAATATTTCCTACGTGGCACACAGCAACTTGGAAGAGTTCAAAGCTCCTCTGTGAAATTTTTACAARCCTCTTCTTTTGGATGCTCATATATTTTGTCATGCACACAAATAATGCAAAATACTGCAGGGAACTTCACTGACACAAACACCTCAAAGCTGGGCATATACTACAATTAGAAGTGTCATGTAATCTCATCTCTATTCTGAGTCATACACACATAACTTCATCCAGATTTCACACCAAGCAGCAATCCTTTAAAAGTGTGTTACTGGCACAAGTACCTTGCTTAAAGTCACTGTCAAACATAGCCTTGCGTCCCACATAGTATTTGTATGTAACTCGCTGTGCCATACTGTACTCATCCTTCAGATTTGAGCTGTCAATTGCTCTAATTAAGGGCTTACAGAGATGGAGCTTGTTGATCTGTTAAAAAGAAAAGCATTTTAATCAGAGCGTAGGTAGACAGTATCATATAAAGACAGGGTGGGTTTAACTTAGAATACGAAATGCAAAACGCAGCTTACCAGACTTAAACCCACCTTAAAATAAATTTTAAACAGTTGATTCACGAGAAACAACATGCCCCACTTTTTTGAGTCTTCAATACCTGCTCGACTGTCAGAAGAAAAAAGAAAAAGCTTGCTAGTACTGAACATTGTAAGTAAATAATTACTTTGTCCTTACAGTAAATTCACTCCATAGCATTTTTAGGGTAAACATAGGTGTACCTCTGCTATGTATTTYCTCAAYATAATGAAAAGATGTCATGCAAARTATTATTCATCTGCATCAGGGTCCTCACTTCTGTCTGCAGGTAACACATAAATAAGCACAGCAGTGGCATGCAATGTGAATGAAAGGTGTATGTAAGGTGAATGAAAGACTGGAAAAAAMCACATTTTTTCCACTTCAGAAGCGTTAAAATTGATAACACTGAAAACCTGAGTCACCTCTTTGCTATCTGATTCTAATGGAGCAAAATTCACAACTAACAGGGCACAGAAGGATTAATCATCTCTCCTGAGAAACAGAGACATAATCAGTCCCTCCCAACACCTGCTAGGAATGCTAAACCTGAAGTGAGGGCTCTCCCACTGTAGTTAATAGTAAAGAGAGAACAGACTATAAATGAAAAGATACAAGCCTCAGAAGTGTTAATTCTAAGACCCATATATGGTCTTAGTAAGTAGGAAAATCTAAAGCAAAATTCGGTAAGTTCTTAACAATTTAATAGCACAAGTTCAACAGAGGATCAATCACTTACGTGTCACTGGCACAGACTCGAAAGCAGCTCATCAGCAGTTCTGCTGCTTTTTCCAACATGTCACCAACTTTRCTTTTCCCTTTCTTCACAAGCTGTTGATCTGCCTAGCATTACAGTGCAAGAAAGAGTWTGTAATTCTACATCATGGTTCACTGGGTTGTGAACAGTTTGGTTCTTTAATACACCATTTTATCAAGTATTATAGCAGTAGATCTGTCATGTCTGCTATCTCCAGTCAGAAGGCAGTCAAGCTCACTGAATAAAAGAAAATACTCAGAGAGGCTCCTGGACATGTACCAAGCCAAATGTACAGGAGGACAGTTCTTTGGAAATAGCAAAGGATCACTATTACCTTTAGAATCACTCAGTTTAATGCAGGTCTCAGAAACTTAAATTCAAAGCTCAATACCTGAATTGGAGCATTAACATTTCAACTCAAGTTTACAAAGACCAAGAGAAAATTACAGAGTTTGAGTTATACAATTTATGATTCTATTTCTCTCCACAGCCACAAAGACTAGATTTTATTTCTAAATCATATTCAACAGTTTCCACTAGTAACACACACTACTGGGACCTGGGACTTCCAGAAGAAAGACAAATCATGTGTTACAGCAGCAAGAGAAAAAAAAAATCAGTTGTCAACACATTGGAAAGATCCATGCACTAACTAATGCACAACAGAAAAACAACAGAAAAAAACACAGCAAGTAGATATTCATTGTGCACTTTCTAAAAAGCTTTATTAYAGTGTCTGCTTTCTCATTAGCTGTAAAGAAAAGAAATGGAAATRCATCCTTGGCTGCAGAAGTCTTCTCTGCATTCAAATCCTTTGAATACACTAAGGTTAGAAGACAGAGTTCAAACACTTCCACAATGACTGATTCAACATCTCCCTTTCTCATGCAGCTTGGAGAAAGGGATTTCTCTCATTCAGACTGAGAATTGAGACTTATCACAAAGCAATCACACACACAAAATATACTCCATGTGGTTTTGTGGCTAAGTGGGCATAACARAATGCTGAATACTGAAAATACTGGATCTTGTCAAACTCTAACCTAACTTGAACTCTAGCTTCATCTCTTCAGGAAAAGTTACTCGGAATGAGATCACAACTCTGCCACTATACTCGGCCTAGTAGTTCTCAACAGATCCCTACACAATCTACTTCAGTTCACCAGCCTGAGAAAAATAATGTAAATTTGGGGATTACTTGCCTGTCAGCAGCTGTATGGGCTCACCAAGGGCTACAAAAAGCATCAAAAGTGGTGCACACAGCTGGAAAAATGGAGCAGAAACTTCCCTCTTCAGATATGGTAAATGTTGTTATCAGCTTGGTTGACTGTGATACCTCCAAAAGTTTATAAACATTTCCACCAAATCCCAGGGATAACACAGAAATAATCACCTACATCACGTGTGTCTCAATAAAGAAAATATTATCCCTTCAAAAGTTCTAAACAACTGCTGGGAGTTGCATTCAGGTTCTCAGAGCCCCTCTAGTTCCATCTGCAAGTGGGAGGTAGGCAGACCAAACAACCTTGTTTTTCAATAGGACTTGAYGAATTTAGTGTGCCAACAAAATCCTAAACAATGAGTTAAAAARATCTGAGCAAAACTGCTGTGTAATAAAGTCTTAAATTATTTCTACTGTGGAAATACCAAACAGATAAAAGTAATGAGGCTGTTAATTAGGTTTACTTACGTTATTAGCAAAAATTCGAAGATCAAGGGCTACAGAATACATAATAGGTAAGGCCCTGCAAAAGAAAATCATAGTATACTTAGTAGGCACAAATCAAATAATAAGTAAGACATAAGAAATAAGCAATTTATCTTTTTTTTTGCCAGTTGGTCATACAATTAGAAAAGTATATGTTAATCTTTAAATAAAGAAGAATGCACTTCTTAAAAGGAAAGTTCTTCAAGTTCTCAGCATTTCAGACACATCACTACAATAATTATTTACAAAGCCTTTTTTACTGTGGCATTAATAAAATACCACTTCTCTTTGAACAAATCCTTCATGTGTTTGCATATGGATCATTCTACATAATTAAGCTCAGATGTTTAGTTTTCACACTTTTGGACACAGAAACTCAAACAGGCAACTAAGACAATTAGGCTTGATTTTAGCATTCCTGGGGATAAATAAAAACTATAGGTATAATTTTAGTTTGACAACTATGGTATTATACTAGGAAAAGATGAGTCTAGTTTTTAGTAGCTTCCTATGATATACTCACCAATTTTCTTCTTTATGTGCCTGAAATGCTCGCAGGAAAGATGTATTGGATTTAGGAAAATTTAAAATGCCATGAAATTAAGAACAGAGCTGAGAAACAGCTGTTCAGGGGTACCATATATGAATTCATGAAAGACATGAAAGAAAATAAAAAACATTAAGTAGYTGAGGAGCTGAATTGCAGTATGGAAGAATATGAGCACAGCCATGCACTCCTTTGAGTGGCAGAAGCAGTAACAAACACTGGCCAGAGACAAGACAGAAGCTCCTTTATCATTAYCTTCCCCTCTGCAAGGTATTATAATGACTTGAAACTCTCCTATATTCTGGGAGAAATTAATTTTCTATTTTAGAGCTCAGTGACAAATTCCTTCTTAGTCCTACAGAAAGTTGGAAGAAGAGTGTATGTGGATTTCCTTGCTTAGAAACATAAACAGCTGAWGGGTRTTTGGARGCAGACCACATTCTATTAGSTTTTKAAAAASCATAAAGAGAATTTAATCTACAAGAAGTTAATCTGAAAACAGTWKAGAAGATTTATGGAAAAGGATATTGGACAATAACCGTTTGGCATTTGTATGCTTCTATGAAGTCATGGTTTCCAACAGCGTAAGTACACCTGTCAAAGAAAAGGTGCATTAGTGTATCAAAAAATATACATAACCAAATATTTATTTTTGTGKCCTACCAGGCATGAAGTCTTACACTTTAGTTAAGGCACAGAGAAATATGATTAGAAACATTCATGAGAAACTGGCACAAGTTTTTAATAGAGCACTGAGCTTGAGAATTGTAGAAAACAGATCCTAGAGATGAATAGGTATTTATTTTAATAAGCTAATAGTTACTGAAACTGTCATCAAGATTAAATTTCAAAATCCAAGATTGCAGAAAATTTATTAAATTAAAGGCTCAGAGAATAACTTAGATACTAAGCTCTCCTAAGAGTACTTTCATGACTAAAATTCCCTTTTAAAAATGTTTATTTCCATTACTTATTTCACTCTAAACTCTTGTGTAGCTAGCAAGCAGAGCAAAGGAAACAGCAAGCACTGACACCAAAGCTATATCAACAGTCATACACAGATGATGGCCAGGTACATAGAGCAAACTTTATATGAAAAGGAAAAAGACAGTCTTTATTTCCTGCAATTCTAKCATTATTTATAAGAGTAATAAACACCAGGTTTCCAGGTGTAAGCCCTTTAAAATAGGTAAGTAAACTTAAGGATATTCTTCCCCATCCCTGCTGTACACCTCACAATTGACATTACATTCCAGATCCTTCTTTACCTTAAGTGGGCTGCAAACATTTCATCATAAGGTGGTTCCAAAACTTGCTGACATTTCTCCTCTGGAGATGGAAGCTAAATATAGAATAAATCCCACAGATAAAGGAACATCCAAGGTACCAGAAACAGAATGTCATATGGATATTGTGTCATGGCAGCTTTCACAGATTTGCTAGAGTTGGAATAGACCTCTGGAGATCATCTAGTAAGCACCTAACAGAACTTTGAATTACATTAACAATAACATCCAGAGTAATCTAGCAGTTGCTAGTGTATGTTTTGTCTCCAGAACCGAACAGAGCCAGCCTTAAATAAAAGCATCTGAAATGCACAGGCACCAGGCCCTTGCTACCCACTGCTTTTTTCTCTATGGTCCCTTCCACTGTGCCATGCTAYTAACTAATGCAAATCTGGTCAGAAAGGACATTTAAAACTGGACCCATCCAGAAAACAACTCAAAGTGGAACACAAAAAGCCAACCAGAAAACAAAAATCATACAYAGTTTCCTTGTAAGGAGAAAAGGGGAACAAACCTACAAGGTTTCACCTGCYTCAGCCTGTGAAACAGTTTTCTGAGGCTTCTCTCTAAGGAAAAAGAACCCACACACAGAGCTAGAAAAACTGAAAGCAAAACAAAAGGTCAAAAAACAGATTGTCACCTGTAGCCTTGGGTTTGCAACATGTGGATGTTTAAATGATACTAATTCTGCACAAAATGGTCCATCTCTGCTCTCAATGGCTTCCTGCACCTACCAAAGTAAGGTAAGCAAACAGTCACATTACAGAATAAAACTCAGCAACAGGGACACAACATATTTACACAACTACAGAAGCCACCATCTAGTTACCACTGTTCAGACATATTAATAGCAAATCAAATGTGAGTTTTTAAAGGTTTAAAACTGAATAAATAATTTTGTATTTTCAATACACCTGTTTTTCAAAAACATTGCAGAGAGAAAATAGAACACTATTGTGTTTTTTGCCTAATTTGTAGGATACAAGCACACATATGCACATGGGTTTAGCATTGTAAAACAGCARTTGAAAGCCAGATTTGGTTAAGCTTTTTTAAATTCCATTTGGACTTATGGGCATCAAACATGTATGTGAAGGCGCAATCTTTGAGTAATGCTTTAAAATGAAGACAGGTAKATTTAACATGTAGATATCATTCCAAAGGCAATGTCTGATATTAGACTGATATTCTATCTACACAAAATTCTTTTGAAACCCACTAAGACTGTAAATGTTGTATTCTGTGGAAGAACGGTTTAATTCTGCTTGCTGCTAAAGATAACTCCTTGTAAAAAATAATCTGCCTGGATAGGTTATTGTGGAAACCCTTCAAAGTGGAAATTTCTTCAGTTATGTAAGTAGTTTTAAATATTACGTCTTAATAGTTTCTTTCCAACTGCTTGTTCTTCATTTCTCATATTTTTGTGTTCCCATATGAAAAAAAAATCTGATGTATGGAAAGCTCATACCAAATGGGAGAAAACCACAGACTAAAACAGCAACAAAAGAGGGAATATCAACTGCTTAAACTCGTTCAGAAATTGTGTTTAGTTTTTATTTCAGGAAAAGGGAGACTATCTATGTTTGCTAGATAACTTTTCAAATGAAATCGTCAATGGACTGTCAACCAAACAAGATCCAGACTTTTCAGAGTAGACTGCTGTCCTGAGACATCTCAGATGCTCCATTTTTGGAGAGTAAAACCCAAACAATTACTCTCTTTTTGTGCCTTCTCTGAGTGGGCTTAACTGATGCCAGATGAAGTGAGTAAGATGGTAACAGTGATGAGAATACGATGGTCCAGCAATAACCAGCCAGAGTGGACACACTGTCACTGACAGTTCTGTCCGGCTCGCATCCCTGTGACTGCTCCTGCCTCTCCATCCTCCACGTCACACACTCTGTGCCCGCACTAATGGACATCTTGGATCCCTGTACTTCTCGAATCCCAGAGCTGCACTTGTTCCTGGACACACACATAACCCTCTGTGGTGGTTCTTGCAGATAAATTGCCTCAGAAACCACCACACATTTCAGGCATTTCAGGTGCGCATCCCTGGCACTACAAACGATGTGTGCTTCACACACAGTGAAGAAATGCATTTCTTCACCACATCACCCATTCTACGTTGATTTATTTCTTAACCAAGGCAGCATATTTATAGCAAAGAAAAAMGCACCCGCATACTCAAACAGCGCCCACAGATCAACAAAAATTTAAAAATTAATTAAAAAATCTTGCTTACTTGCTGCAGGTACTGATTTATGGTGATGTGCGCCATKAAAGGKTAMGGAGATGAGGCGGGAGCCCCACACCGGTCCCACCGAGCGAGCCCCGGAACTGCCGCCGCGCTTCCGGATCTCGGCGCGRACGAGAGCGGCGGGAAYGGCCCCGACCGTCACGTGACAGCYCCCGCCCAATCGCCGCTGCCWCGCCTCCGCCCCGCCCACCGCGGCMRGGAGGCGTGGCCTYACCCGGGCAGCCAATGGGAGTGAGCCATGGGCGGGGCAAAGGGCGCGCGTCAGAGGCACACCGCGTGCGCTGGGGCGCGCCGCCCGGCTGTAAGTGTTGCCCCTGCTCCCCGTTACACTCTCGGCTGGTGAAGGAGGTGGCGGTGACCTCCATGTGACAGTACCCCAGTGGCGGGACACTCCGGTTACATAGCCCCGGAGAGTGCTGGAGACCTGTTTTCTCCCGCTGTCCTCGCTGGTTGCGCTTTGGGTTCCTGCGCTGCCCGCGGGAAGCGCTGGAGAGGGGTCTCGATGGACTTGGGTCGAAAAAGTTGAATCGAGCATTAAACGCCCGTAGAAGGCTGACTCCTAGAAACACAAACGCCAGGGTGATGTGTGGGACAACGACACGCTCCATGCTYGTGCGGGCTGGGCTCGGTTGGATTTGGGGGGTGAGCAGGGCGCGGGCGGCCTCTCGGACTGGTGGCTTTTCTGAGCAGGAAGCCGGGCTGCTCCTCGCCTTTCGTTCCAGCCACCCTTCGGTGGGTGCCAGCAAATAGAGCCAGGGGAAGCGAGGGACACCGAGAGGCTGCCGCCGCCCGGGGGAGGCTTCCCCGGCCCGGGAGCCATCTTGTGAGCGGGGCTGGCGCTGCCGGAGCGCCGCGGGCCGCACASACCGGGGAACGGACCCGCAGCTGGACCCGCAGCCGAGCCGGCCGCCGGGGCGGGTGGAGGCGGGCAGGCGGCTCTCGGTGCCTCCCGGCCCGGCAGCGCTTGGCAGCTGCCCGGGGGCAGTGGGGGAGGGCAGCTGGGTGGTGGCGGCGGAGGAGGAGGGGAGCGGAGGCGGRGACCAGCCGGCCCCGGCCCGGCCCAGCCCAGCGCCTTGCCCCGGCCGGACACGGCGCCCGGGGCGGAGATGGCGGACGAGCCGCAGAAGAAGCCGCACTTGTCGGCCTTGGTGGGACACACGAACGGGCTCACCAAGCCCGCCTCGCTGGCCGCCACCGCCACCCGCGCCGCGGGAGGGGGAGGAGGAGGCGGAGGCGCGACCGCCTCCTCCAAGAAACTCGTGATCAAGAACTTCAGAGGTGGGTACGGGGCAGGCCGGGCCCTCTCCTCTGGCAGGTGCGCTCGGCCCCGGCCCGACCTTTGTTTACTGCGGCTCTGGCCGCTCCCCGCCCCTTGCCCGCGGCCGGGCCCCGCCGCCTTCGCAGCCCCGCCGCCGTATCGGGGCGAGGGGCGSCTGCCGCCGGCTGATAACACCGCCGGGCTGATAACGCCGCCGGCACCGTGCCYGTGTGAGGGCTCCTGGGGACACGCGTGGGGCTCCTTGCGCGGGGGCAGCGGCCGGAGCGGGCCGGCAGAAAGCCACCTTAGTGTCAACGCTGATTAAAGCCAGGCGAGGGTTCTTGCCTCGCTAAAAGTAACACGGGCGTCGTTAAAAGTAACACAGCAGCCGGGGGGTAAAACGGATCGTGCAAAGGCTCGGGTGGAATTATTAGTGAYCCCTCTGCCTGTGCCAGAGTTACGTAGTCAAACGCAGAATGGCTTGGCAGAGCTCGATAGAGCAGGAGGGAGAAGAGAGATTGCTGTAGGCTCCCCTTGAGTGGCTGGTTTTAAACTACCTGTGTCTTACTTCACAGAAAGACCCAAATTACCAGATAATTACACTCAGGATACCTGGCAGAAACTTCATGAAGCGGTGGGTGCAATACAGAGTAGCATTTCTATTAAATACAACCTTGAAGAGCTCTACCAGGTAAGCCCYATAAGGCTTTGGTTTCKTYTTTTTGCAAATAAACTGCTTTGGCACACATTCAACATAAGGTATTTTGATTTGTTAAAAGCTGATTGATACTTGGTTATGTAGGCTGTTTCTGGTCAGTTTGCAGTTCTACATGTCAGTTCCTCGTCGAGCCGCGAGGACCTGGGCCCGTGGAAAAGCAGTTTATGTTGGGAGGCACAGAAAGCTATTCCTGGACAGGGCTGAGATCTCAGTCTTAGTACCTTCAATGCTCTGCCCACTCAACATGCTTAGAGCAGGATGTTACTCTAATGGGGTTATGAAGTTATTTTATGATTTGTGTACATGCTGTAGTCGCTTGTAAATAGTAATGTTGAAATATTTGATACTAGATAATAACATTACACTTCAGTATCTTTYGGGTAATTAAAAAAGAATCTTGATTGAGCAGGCAGCAAACTATCACTTTACCCATATTTCAGATTAACTGTTGCATTTTCATAACAATCAGGATCTAAGGTTTTCTGTTCAAATGGTGGAAAAGTATTTCTGGAACACCTGGACTACTGGGGCAGGGGCTAGGGACAGTAAAAGAGAAATATACTCCTGAGCCATTTCTTTCTACTTTCTTCATTTATATGTGGTTTAGTTCTGTGTTTAGATATATGTGCCTTGAGCTATTTAACTGAAGTAGTAGCTTTTTTAAGTGTTCATGTTGTAAAAAATTACTGATGCACTAAATTGTGCTACCGAGCATAAATTGGTTACGAGTTATCTGTGAGTGCAGGTGCTTGATCTGCAGATCGATGTCCTTGTCAGCTAAGTACTTGAAACATTATTGTGCACACCTAAAATTTTCTAAATGCTTAGTTGAGGTGCAAAGGATAGACTGTGAGAGAGAAGGCCAGCAGTTCATGCTGGGTCCCTGTTCAAGAAAATCAGGATGGATTTTGGAACTGGCTGTAYGTGTCTCTTTAGTTAGAGTGTGTAATATATGGGTCTGAAATGGCTGATTATGTAAATRGATATTGACTCAATATAATTTTTTCCCTTTAAGTAGAAAATTTGACTGTAATAAACTAATCTATTAATACTTGCAGATTTGCAGACTTTGAATGACATAATGCATTTTATTGTTTTAAATTCAGCATTTGAAAAATCCCACTTTTTCATATCTAGCAAAAAAAAAAAAAGCCCACAGATGCTTTGAGTGTTACCTAACTTGTTTTCAGAGGCTCAGAAATGAGATTATAGCAATATGGCTATGAGATCACTAGGGTACACATTTGAGTTTTGGCAGAAGAGGAGAGAGATTTCAGATAAACTGTGAAGGGAGAACTGTACTTCTTGCTTTTTCTCTTTGCCTATTTGTAAACACTGTGCAAAGCTGATCAAATAATCTGTAACACAGCAAATCAGGAAGATTTCTGCACAGTGGGTGGTGGTGCTCGGTGTGCCTGTGCACAGACAGGTACTTACTCTCCTGCCAGAGGAATAAAAGATGAGGTTCAGCATCCACTGGAAACCTGATCTGTATTTACAGATCATTTTAACTGCCTGTTGGTGGGCACCGAGTCATCCACAGGGGAAAATATCTCTGGGTGCATCAGTTCTTATTATCAGACCTTTTTGGTAGTTTTTTTGAATCTTTATCCAACATCGTGGGAGGAAGTGAGAGGCCTAGTAGAATTCAGTGTGCTGAGCAGGCTGGTGTACCAGCCTGCAGTTAAACCTTCTGATTTATTTATTTAATTTGGCACAGTAGCTGAGGAGAAACTRAAAAACAATGAGGAGGCTTTGTGGGAAGCCCAAAGGATACTCCTTTCCAGGCATTAGAGGCAGCATGGAATCAGGCATGAAGGTGCTTGGCAGAGATGTAGTCAGTGAGCAATGGGAGGGTGGCAGCCAATTTTTTGTGACTAAAATAGAAATGATGTCTGGAATTGGTGGTAGATTGCACAGATTTGGATAGAAGTAGCTTATACTTGATGGGATAGAGAAAGTGGGGCAGTACAAAGAATTGCTGAATGAGGAGTGAGTGATAAAAATAGTGGAAAAAGAAAATTACCTTTGCAGCGAGGTCCTAAATAACCTGAAATGAGGCAGCACTGCCCTTCTGGAGGACAGTGTAGTAGCAAAGGAAAGACAGTAGAGCACTGAAGGATAAGGTTATGAGAGTCCTGACTAGACTTAGATGTGGGTAGGTGGATAGGAATGGCTATGTTTAAGGAAATGTAACAAACTATCTGCAGAATGATTGTCTGAATACTGTTTGTTGCATGTATCATTTTACTTAACCTTTTTTAAGACCAGATGAAAAACCTGTTATAGACTCTGTGTTATAATTTTGTTTGTTTGTTTGCATGCTTTAATATTGTATCAAAACTGTAGAGGCCATTTTTTATGTGAATTTACATAAAATTACATTAGGTAGGTTAGAATCCTCTGGAGCARAGGAAAACATTCTTGGGTCAGTTTTAGTTGCCCAGGTGACATGGTGCTTTAAATCCTTGGCTGTGTTCTCTGCAGTACAATAATAATATAAAGGCAGTTGACATTAATATAGTGACCACAAGAACATTTGGTTTTGGACAGAATTGGTCTCCTTAGTTAACTAAGGATAAATACTCAACTAAATCCTATGAGCTTCCAATTAATCAGTTCAAGTCTTTATGTAATAGCTAGTGTGCGGTTGGTTTGGGGTTTCTTTTTTTCTTATTTTTTTGGTCTTTCTTAAATATTTTTTCCTTTCAGTTTATGTATCTTAGCATGAATGTGTGAGTCAGTAGAAAGATTTGGGAAGAAATAAGTTGATAAAAAGACAGAAAAGTAGCTATACTCATTTACCATTTGGAGAGACTGGTTGAAATGTCTACCTTAAAGTTATTAAGAAATTAAAATATTTGGTATGATTGTGTTCTGCCCCAAAAAACCATGTGGGCATACTGAGGGATACACAAAATGGACCTTTAGGAGTTCTACTGCTGAGCAGTATTGAAGGAGGCTGAATTCTGTAGTGTTTAACAGCACATCTGAAATATGACCCAGATTGTGATGGTGGGCCTTGTTTGTACAAGCAGAATAAGAAGGGACCAAAATCAGAAAGGACTCCTGAAGTCTTTAATTTTTCTGTATAACTTCATTTTGACGTTTTGGTTTTGTGCACAGCTTGAACATATAATGCAGATTTTTTT